AGGGGAAACAATGGCTGTATGACCCTGTCTGTGCGATCCCTTTATATCTCTGCTGATGTAATGATCATCCAATGCTCAACTGGTATATTGAATATCATATACCTTGCTGTACACGTTCTCGTACAGGCAATATTGCTTAATGCTGTGTATATGATAGCGGTTATGTCACAGGAACGCCAGAGAACACGTGTGGTCTAAGAAATGCCTCAGCCAGAGTGTTGTAGATCTGGTCGCCACAAGCTGCTGGTTTGATAGCTTACATCCAGAGGGGGTCTCGCGGCACTTAAGTGGATGGACTTTAATTTGAACGCTTTAGGTTTACTCTAATTACATATTTATAGCTCGTTTCAAGTAGTTCTATAAGTCTGCTTAATTTCCCAATTGCTTAATTGCCATGGAAACCTGATCATTTATTCAAATAAACAAATAAAAGCCCATTTATGATCAACATGAATCACTGGCACTATATTTCTCATGTCTGGACCATCTTTCCATAGGTAAATGGTAATTCGCCCAAAAAGTATTCACATCAAACTGAAGGTTTTCTGGATGATGATATCGTGTCATTAAAATATTTCGTGAACCATACAACAAAATGCAAAGTTTGTGCGAGTGTGCCAAAATCAGTGGTTTGTTGCATCGGGAACAACTCGTGCCTCCGCTGGTCATCCCATCAGGAAATAAAAGTTAGATATATAGGTGTCGGAGTGTGATATTCTGCACGTATAGTACACATGACGTATTGGGAACAGCCAATCTTTGAATCACAATGCAAGAGCTTATACAAGTAATTTCTACGAAATAAATTGCGTCTTTCATTGCGTTATTGCCATTTATGGGTACATTGAGATTTTCTTATCGTCCTGCGAGAGATGCAGCCACAAATATCTGTTACTGGTTTTGTTTGGTTTGTTGTTTAACGCCGCACTCAGCAATATTCCAGCCATATGACGGCGGTCTGTAAATAATCGAGTCTGGACCAGACAATCCAGTGAGTGTCATCATAAGCGTCTATAAGAGCAATTGGGATACAATGACATGCATCAACCAAGTCAGCGAGCCTAATAATCCGATCCCGTTAGTCGCCTCGTGCGACAAGCATAGTCGCCTTCTACAGCAAGCATGGTTTGCTGAAGACCTATTCTACCCCGGATCTTTACGGGTCAAATGTTACTGAAATGGGCTATATATCTCCCCTTTTCGCAGTCCTATATATACCTCAGCAGTATACTGCAATGTACAGTGTAAACTATTCAGTGAAACTCACTCATAATCCGATCACGCATGGCACAGCTTCACTGACTACAGCATCATGTGAATATGGAATCTATATCACGCACATGTTACCATGGCACAATTGGCGTGTTGTGAATAATCAACCAATATCAAAAGCTTTCACGGAGTCTATCTCCTCAGACCCTAGAGAATACATAAAAAACAATCCAGCTCAAGTCTAGAATGATATGGCAAATCTAGGTTGCCTCGGGCCCGAAATTAAGCATTGTTCTGGGCTCCAAATGTATATTCTTTTCAATTAGTAGATATATATATTTTTATTTCTGGGACTAAATGTTAGTCTAGCTTTGGGCTCAGTAACATTGGTAATCGAACCCGGTTTTTGGCGCTTACAACGCTTAAGAAAGAACTAGTTTGGAACTATATTTCAAGGTTTTCAAATAGTATCAATTCTTCAAGAAAACTATCTCACGTAAAAAATAAGAAAACATATTCAACAAAAATTTAAGTGATGCGTGTACATATTCACTAAGTTAATTTGACAATGTCTTGGAATTATTACCTTCAGGACAGATTTTCGAATTCGAATTCTGTACATACAACAGTAACAAACCATAGATCAGCGAAGCACCAAATGTTCAAGTTCAATGATCCGCGCATATGCTATAAAAGTGCAAAACTCGGACAGTACCTTTGGGCAGTTACGCGCGAAATACGGACCAGTTTTTTAGCCATATTGTTTTCTGCCCAATTATAGTCGGTGTTTCTAGTTAGAATGTCACCTATCACAAATGTCGAATCGTTTGGCCTTTCAGTCCAGGATAAACGATACCTCCCCTAATAGGGCGGTATAAATATATCATGAGCAATAATGTCGCCGCTATCTGTATAACCGTAGGTTGAATCTGGCAACCGAACATGGCAACGCGCTACCGCAGCTACCAGACAACGGTGGGGGAATATGTCTTATCGGGTGTGTTCGATAAGGTGATCCGGTCGTGCCCGTGCTTGTCAATCAGAGTGAGTGAGTGAGAGCTTGACAATTATCGGATATATCAAGGGCAGCCGCTATTCGCGGGGATGCCCGTCAGCCGAAATCAGCGCACTAACCGTAACTCGTGACATTGTAATGAAAGTTAATAAAACAGTTCGTAATTAGGGCATCAATTGTTAAAGGGAACATCTACCAAGAGGTATTTGTGGTTTCCATAGAGATGCCACCTAATAAAAGTTTCAGGGCCAATAGTCAATTTACTCAACAGTAGGCAAGAAAGAACAATGCATAAACATGTATCATTGATTGTGTTCGTCGAATTGTCTTGACACGGTTAGGTCATAGCTAATCAAAAATTAATGTATAATGTGTGCTGAATGTGACTAAAAGTACTGGAATATCAAGTCACCAAAATATCGGTTAATAGATTCTACGTCATTAACATTCTATGACATTCCTCTGTTCTGTATTGAGAGAAAGCAACTGATTGTACGGCACTCCTACCTGTTTTGAAGGTCGAACGGAGTAAGTAGAATTGCCTTCAACTATTCAAGGGCACTAATTTGTACTTTACCTACAGACTGACGAATCGCTACCGACAATTTCCACTGAGCAGGCACTTTACATATTTTAAATTACTAAATAATTTTGAATAAATCAGATACGCTGAGAATTTATCCGAGTGAAATAGACCATGCACAATACAAAACCTTCTCCCAAACGTGACCATATAGTGATTGAAAGTGGCAAACGAAAAAAGGAATTCATTATTTGTCACAATAGGAATAAGTTCATTAACTCATTTATTTATATTTCGTTATTTGAATTAGGAATAAAATATGTCAAAATCGGATTAAATCAACTAACATTCCACTTGAGATACAAGTACAAAATATAACGGTAGTTTGAATATTATCTTCCTGAATTTTGTTATTGAAGAGAACTCACTTGTTATGCAAAGTGATACTTATTCAAGGGGTGTCGACAGCATTATATATATATATATAATGCTGTCGATATATTCAGAGTATCTACAAACAATCAGTACAGTGTAATCAGACCGGCGCGGAGCCACAATCACTATTAAATCTAATTGTTAATTTCCTAGTTCTGAAGAAGTTATACCGGACCATCATCATCTATACTGTAGGATCTTTGGCAACAGTGAGAATAATTTTACACCTCTGCAATATCCCAGCAATATCAAGGAGGGGGGTGGAGGAACACCACTTTGTACCCAGGTGGAGAATCAAATCTTGGACGTGACAAGCGAACGCTTTTAAACACCAGGATCCCCTGCCGCCCTTATGAGACAACAATCTGTTGTGGCTACATTTTGTTGGAGATTTATCCCAATCATTGCAGCGAGCTATAACAATGAGGGAAATTGACTGTAATCGCATGTAGATCGTCACGTCCTTGTGCCACTACACAGAAACCGCGGCAGCTGGTTCGTGAACAATACCATCCCATCCAGATATGTATCGCTTGACCGCAGGTGTATACAATACCATGAAACATACGCTTACAGTCAGGTACTACTATCATCGATTTCTCATAGCGTACAACTGTTTAGCCATATAGATTTGTGGAGATGGTACGTTTTCAATTGAAATAGGCTATTAACATATTCTGTTCACCCAATGCATGTTCGTTGTCATGTTCATGCTAGGTTACGAATCGGCCCGTATCAAATGTACCCGAGAGTGAGACCGTAGCCGTAGATACACAGCGGTACAGTGGCGATGAAACCCGAGACAAGACAGGTATCATTATGGCAGGGATACAGTATTGTTTGTCATTGGGATGAAAATATAGGTAGTGATTGGGAACTGGGGATAGGGCGTCATTAGGGTTAGATGGGGCGATGCAATGTAGAACTCTACATATCGTTTGTAAATATTCTTAAAATAGCCTACATTCGGTGTGCAGATTTTACTTATAGCCTCCTTGTATTTGTAAAGCCATTCGAGACGATGGGAAAATATAATACACACAATGTGACATCAAGGCTAATACAAACTGGATTTTCAAGCATGTCAAACAATTGAAATCTATACTTAGTCTTTCGTGTCATGAAGCCAACATGACATGCGAGTGGAATACCATTCACATTTTCGCAGGCAGATCAACATGTCAAAGCTACAGTGTAAATAAAATAAACAAATGTGTGTTTAAAGTAGGGACAAGAAATTATGTAGGAAAAAAATCCCTCTTTCAATAGCATACCGGGGCTGGAGTTTAATAGATATATAAGTAAGCATCGCTCAATCCTGGTGTCGACCTGACTGTAATTCCCAGTATCAAAAATGTGTGCAATACCTACGTACTTTGTATGTTAAGCGTTCATGGCATGTATGGTGAATAATGATTGATCTACGAGGAAGTTGACAGAATGAGAGGTGCCAGCGCGAACAGTAGGGTCATCGGGTAAATTGCGCTCACATGTGTGCGAATTATTCTATTTATAGATCAGTTTGGATATAATGTAATTGTGTTGTGAAATTCTTAGAAACATGTGATATGGGATATATTACTCTTTCGGAATGCAATGACATAAGACAATGCAATGATATCTCGTCAGTCACGTTGAGCACTACAGCGTGCAAGATCCCATGCTCAGCATGTGGGACACTTGTTGATCGCTGTCCTAATGAACATAGCTAGTATTTGGTGATTCTCACAGCAGGCCGACAACAAAATGTCCCGCATACTCGTACGGTGTAACTTTTACATCACCACAAAATTGGTTGTGATAAATAGGTCTTACCATTTCAGCGCTAGTCCTTGCGAGTTTTCCGAGCCGAGCGTGTATCAAGTGCAACCGAGTTTCTGTCGTCTGTGACTCGCTCCGCAGTGAGAGATTACTCCGCTTGCTCACGGGGACTTGATCACCGGCGTAGTTCGATCCGAATGACTTAAATCACTTTCGTCCCTGAATGGTCACTGTTAGCGGTGGACGTGCAGTGGGCTTGTGGTCAACGCCTCCCCGAGCTGCCCTTTTACAGGATTCCGCTTCAACTGTTTATAATCCGCTGGACTTAGTGAGAACCGAAAAATACTTGTCGCAGTGACAACGGCGGTGTATTATGTAACCGGCTTATGCAATACACAAGTCGCGCTGTGACAGGACCGGTGTTCCATGCTTAGTGCACCGAAGCAATTAATCACCCCAAACCAAGAAAAGGTTCATTTAGCTTGATTGAAAGTATGGTTCATAAACAAGAAGCCGACTTTATTCGTTTCTGAGATTAAGATTCAGGTTAAAACTCAACCCGGGAACGGTGAATAGCGCTAGTTGGTGTTGTATGTTTGGGGGGTCGGTTTCATGAATACTCTGTATCGAGGAATTAGGATAATCGGCATTACGTAGTATAGACGTGCTTATATAAATTAACATATGGCTTTATCATAATAGATAGGGACTACGGATGGCCCGGTTATCTAAGGGTGGTTGTGAGAGCGCAAAGCAATACAAGTCTTTAACCTTGGAGCACATTTGCTGCCATTATCAGGGTAGAGCTGTGATTCGAACCCATGCCTAAAGGACACAACTCTGCACCGCGAAATGCGGCATCGTAGACGATTGGACCACCCACACCCCTAACCCGAAATAACAATATGTGGAGGTGGTTATGGGAGAAGTGAGTGAGTAAGTTTGGCCAGTATCCCAGTTATATCACGGCATATCAGCTTAATGTGGGAGGCTAGATCGAAGTGTTGCAAGTCTAAGAAGTTTACCACTGGTGACATCCACGAGCACGGGCACGGTGCTGACAAACCCAGTAACATAATCGGGGCTCACCGAGATTCGAACCCGCTATCTCATACAAGACATTATTCATAGCTAGGTGGTGCATATCCCATAAGAAATAAGAAAACAATGGAAATCAACTTGAATGGAACTGTAAATAACGAATTCGGGTTGATAGGGCAAGGTAAACTGGGATTTAACGTCGCGTTCAAGGGTATTGTACTTATATAACAGCGTGCGTGCGCGCGCGTATGTGTGTGTCTGCTGGTACTAGTCCGGACTAACGCTGGTTTTATAATGCTAGCCAACTGAGATACCATACCAGTTCAACATGAATACCCGAACCAGACACAGTATGTATTCTGACTCCGAGACGACAGTTCTTGTTTTATTCCCTAAATATCGAGTGCCAGGCAGTGTAACAACAAATACCATCTTGTATTGCGCGGCCGGAGATCGAGCTACCGAGCTTCCGCTCTCTGGGCTGACACTGAGATTCTGTTTTGTTGTCAATCCGTGAAGATCCGGGTTAGAACTGATCTTCAGCAAGCCATGCTTGTCGTAACAATTAAATTGTCTGGTCCAAACTCGATTATTTACAGACCACCGTCATATAACTGGAATATTGCTGAGTGTGACGTTAAACAACAAACAAACAAACAAACATCTTCCCGAGGCAAGAGAGTTAACTGACTTTTGATTTGACTATGCATAGACTCGTTAGTCCAGCCAAAATGTAACTCCACAATACCAGCCTAGTTCGGCAAGGGTGGACACTGCCAGTGGACTTTTATGGTCAGTTAACTCTCTTGCCTCGGGAAGATGACAAACAAACAATGTTATGAAGTAGGAAATGTACGATGGAAATACTTCCGTCTGACCTGTTAGCATTACCATATATTTTATAATGTTAATTTTGCCACCTTGGAAGTGAAATATTATTAAATTTTAGTACATATAATAAAATGATGTAGAATATCATAGCGATGATGTCCACTTGACAGGGCGGATCATTTATGAAACCAATGCTAAATTTGCAATTAACTCGCCCTTAGTAATTAACATCACGCGGCCATACAGTCATCGGGGGCACGGGTGACCCAGTCGTCTTTGGCGCCGCGATACGCTGTGCAGAGTTGCGTCCCTTGGGCACACCAGAAACCTATGATTGTGGGTTCGAATCCCGGTTCGCCCCGATTATGTTTCTAGGTTTGTCAGCACCATACCCGTGCTCGTGGGTTTCACCGAAGTGGTAAACGTCTAAGACCTGCATCACTTCGGGCTTTCCTCCCACATTAAGCTGACACGCCGTGTTATAACTGGAATACTGTTAAAAGCGGCGTTAAACCCAACTCACTCACTCACCCACCCATACAGTCATGATCAGACACGCTCGGACTTTCTTATAGCAATAGCTTGAACGCATGTCAGTTCAGGCAATCAAGACGATCTGTTTTACGTGTGTGAGTGAGGTGGATTTTACGCCGCTTCGAACAGTATTTCAGCCATATTACTCCGTTTCATCCAGGTGGAAAGCCCAGTAGTGACTCATGTCGTAGACTGAAAATAAAAGCGAAAAAAATTTACATATGCATAGGAAATCTGTGCTAAAATCAGACTCGATTGTACGATTCTGACTATATCATGATCATGTGTTTATGAATTACTATCCAATAGTGATGATACCAGGTGTTCGCGAAAAGGCGAACGTATCCTGCCCACAGATGGCATCAGCCACAACACATGCGGCGGCAAGTCAAGTGAGCACCAGAAAACAACAACACGGGGACACATGGTACAAGTCATCTTTCCGAGGCAAGGGAGTTAACAGTCCAGTTTTTACATTTGCAGAACAAGGCTTGAATTTCGTGGCTTGATCGTAGCGCTACCGGTGGATATTACGAGTAATGTCCCTTGTATGCCCCTGCTATTGACCAATCAGATTCCACCGCTCATATCACTTGGATTTGCTTCAAACAAAACCAAGATGATCTGATTGATATTCAAGATCTAGGTTGTAATAAAACGGGTCTAACCCCGCGAAGTGCATCACATCACTTAAGCACGTTGATTTAAAACATGAAAAGATTTAGAAAGTATCTTTCGACGTCCAGTGCAAATATGTCAGTCCCGATGTTGTTTACATATACTGTTGCTATAGACATGATGTATGTAACACACGTGGAGACAGTGTAGACGTGCATGTACATATACTGTTGCTATAGACATGGTATATGTACCACACGAGGAGACAGTGTGGACGAGCATGTACATATACTGTTGTTATAGACATGATGTAAGTAACACACGTGGAGACAGTGTGGACGAGCTTGTACATATGCTGTTGCTATAGACATGCTGTATGTTAAACACGTTGAGAAAATGTAGACGAGCATGTACATATGCTGTTGCTATAGACATGCTGTATGTTAAACACGTGGAGACAGTGTAGACGAGCATGTACATATGCTGTTGCTATAGACATGCTGTATGTAACACACGTGGAGACAGTGTAGACGAGCATGTACATATACTGTTGCTATAGACATGCTGTATGTTACACACGTGGAGACAGTGTGGACGAGCATGTACATATGCTGTTGAATCTGATCAATTATAAGAGACACATAGCCACTGATGGCGCTACGATCGAGCCACAAAATTTCAGCCGAGTTCGGCATGGGATGAAACGGGACTTTCGCAGTCAGTGAACCCCCTGGCCTTTCAAAGATGAACTCTTGTGACAAGGGCAGAAAGATGGAGTATCTCACTATTCATACTGATATTTATAGTTTCATACTAGGGTCCCACAAGAGGAACCCGTCTGGATAATTTAAAAAGAATAACTTGAAAACATGATGAAAATAATGAGCAATAGCAAAAACGTTTCACTGACAATATGGAAACTAAAAAAATGAAGATGTTATTTGCATATAAATTTAAATATAAAATATTAATACAAATATCCATTGGCCTGATCGCCTTTACAAGCTTGTATGCATGAATAAACGAGATCTCTATTGTGGTTATAGTACGTAAATTATTTTCAGTGGAACGCCAGTTTGAGTCAATGAAAGTTTATATTCGTTTACGTTTAGCATGTCATGTAACTTGTCGTTGTAGTTGGGGGCGCAGCGAAAAAAATCCGAGATATGCCATCCCAATACTGTAGAAATACAAAAAATAACAGCATAATTATTGACGGCGTACCAGCTTTAGTGTACATTATTGGGGAGGAAGGTTAGAGTTTCCCATTTCGCAAACGCCTGATGTCCTCACTGAATCGACACAGCAACGAACTATGTACAGTAAACTACGTTTATAATGAACACGTTTATAACGAACTTCCGGATATAACGAACTGTTCCTGGGTCCGGCCCATTTTGTGTGTATATGTTGTACATATGCTTATAACGAACTACGGTTATAACGAATCAAAATTAGTGGTCCCTTTGAGTTCGTTATTACCGTAGTTGACTGTAAGTTTTAAAGGAAATATCAAGACTAACAATCAGTACGGGTGCGACCACACACAACCAGCCAGAGCATTCATTGTAGCCGCTCTGTCATCATCGTCATCCTGAGAAATTAGCCATCAATTTGGTGCCTTGACATTCTTGCTGTCGACAACACTTAGATGAAGAGACCGTCATCATGCGGTCTGGTACCAGTTCCACGCGTAATGGAGGAAGGAAGGAAGCAACGAACATACCAGTTCAACCTGTAACGAAGGAAGGGAGGAGGAGGAAGGAGAAAGACCGATCGACCGAACGAATGTATCAGTTCAACGTGTAACGACGGAAGGGACGTAGGAAGGAAGGAAGGACCGACGGACCGAGCGAGCGATCGAACGAACCAGTTCAACGTGTAACGAAGGAAGGGAGGAGGAAGGAAGGAGAAAGACCGACTGAACAAACGACCGATCGACCGAACAAATGTATCAGTTCAACGTGTAACGACGGAAGGGACGTAGGAAGGAAGGAAGGACCGACGGACCGAGCGAGCGACCGAACGAACCAGTTCAACGTGTAACGAAGGAAGGGAGGAGGAAGGAAGGAGAAAGACCGACTGAACAAACGACCGACCGACCGAACGAATGTATCAGTTCAACGTGTAACGACGGAAGGGACGTAGGAAGGAAGGAAGGACCGACGGACCGAGCGAGCGACCGAACGAACCAGTTCAACGTGTAACGAAGGAAGGGAGGAGGAAGGAAGGAGAAAGACCGACTGAACAAACGACCGACCGACCGAACGAATGTATCAGTTCAACGTGTAACGACGGAAGGGACGTAGGAAGGAAGGAAGGACCGACGGACCGAGCGAGCGATCGAAC